TTTGGGTTAAATGGGTATTGGGATTTTGGGCTTGGGTAGTTGGTAGGCTTGGGTTTTTTGGATTTTTGATTTTGGGTTTTTTTTTTTGGTTTAAGGCTTAAAATTGAAATGGGTTGGAATTGGGCCATTTAAGATGGGTTTAAGGTGTAAATGGGTTTTGGGTTGGACTTTAATGCATTTCACCCTTCAACTTTTCATTTCTTCAATTGGGTCCCTCATCCTTCAACTTCTTTCCAATCCTTCACAAAAATCCCCATTTTACTCATGAACCTAACAAGGAAAACAAAGATAAAAACATATTAGTTAAAATAAAATATAATAAAACTAAAATAAAATCATACTAAAATTTGAGTTATGACAACTGGATTTCATATCTTTTGAAGATTCAAGAGCACTTGAACGAGCAAAACTCTCCAATCTCTTCTTATACAACTCACATTCATTCCAAAATTTTATCTTTTGAGAAGGAATTTTTGCATCCACAACATCCATAAAACCTTTAATCACTTCTTGCTTGGTTCAAAAATGATCTTTATCATAAAAGAAAAAAGGATTCAAGTAATAGGCAGCAGCATCAATACTTTGACGAAATTGCCTATCCCACCTTTCCTTGATAATTTTTGTATAAGGCTTATATAAAGACTTCTTATCCATCAATATAGTCTTAATTGCCTTTCTAGCCTTATACATGCCATCATAGATATACCCAAGAGAAGGCCTTTCATCACCATCAACAATTCTAAGCAAGTGCATAACTGGTGCCACAACTTTCACAACAAGTTGACAATTACTTCAAAATTTGTTATCTAAAACAACAACAACAACATCTTTTGCCTTCGAATCTTTGTAGTATCTAAACTCTTTAAATTCCAAACTAGTAACCAATGCTTACAAATCATGCTTGTGGTCAAGAATGCTTTTCAATGCAATGAATATAGTGGCAAAACGTATTGGCCTTGGACGTATAATTTCAGTCCACCCTTCTCAATTTCAGTCCACCCTTCTCTCTTTCTTAGCCAAGCTTAGAGAAAAGCATAATTATATATAAATTTAGTCACTAATGATGCACTAGTTGCCAATTTACTCACAACATCCAACTTGCCAATATCACTTAATATCAAATTCAAGCAATGCGCAAAACAAGGAGATCAAAAGATAGTTAGATACATGTCATTTAACATTTTTTCAACTTTCTTATAATTAGCTACATTATCAGTGACCAAATGGACAAGCACCAACATAATCAACCAATTCTTTAAACAAATTACAATGCATGCTAGTGTCTTTGACCACATCAAAAGCATCAACAGATCTCACAAAGGTTATCCCTCTAGAACAATAAACAAGAAAATTAATCAATTGCCTATTTTTTTGATCCTACCAACCATCACCCATAATTGTACAACTGGTTCCTTCCCAAACTTTTCTATAAGAATCAACCAACAATTGAACCTCATTTTTTAAATCTTTCAAAAGATTAGTTCTCACGGTATGATAAGTTGATCCTTTATAACTAGGACTAATTGTAGTAATAGCATCAATTATAGGCTGAAAGTATGGGGAATTAATAGCATTTATAGGAATGCAACTATCAAAGAAGAATCTAGCAACAGCTAAATCAGCTTGATGGATATCTTTTATCCCTACCATTGCACTCCTAATTGATGGTTGGGATCTGATGAGCTAATTCCACTCTAGCAAGTGTACTAGTCCGTTCAAGTAATATAATGATGAAAATAGAGTATCGTCCCACAGAGACCGTAGACTAATTAAGTACCAAAATTAATGAATTCTAATTTTATTTGAACAATTGAAATTAAATGACTTGAATAAATTAAATCACTAAACTAGTTAACGAAAAACTAAATTAACTTTGAGTAACACCAAGAATTAAAAGTCTAAGGCATCCGACTTCACCATCATCAACTAATATAGAATTTAAATCAATATACTTCCAAGGTATTTATTATTCATGTGACAGCGGGATTTCCTAATTTATTCGATATACTATCTCAAGTTATACCAAACTTATCTTCACCTATTAACCCACTATATCTCTATGTGAATTTAAATAGATAAAGATGCATTATGTTCTATGAAATTCCCTAGTTTACGCAAAAAATTAAGTCCACTGATCACCAATGCTACACAAATCACGTTGGTCCATCTCTGGCTTTCGTTCAATTCATGGTATATATTACTAAAAGTTATTGCATAAAATCTCCTCTCGGTCTCAATTATGCTCTTCAAATCAGTTTTAATGGTGGCCAATCATCAAAAAGCATTAAGAACAATAATAT